TTCTTTAATATTGAGAACGATTTTTAGAACTTTATCGTTATCTTTATAGTTATCGTCCTTGGTGTGAACGAGCCTTTACTCCAACTCCTTAAAGGTGCTGTATGTATTTTTTTTATTTTTTTTAACTGTACTAAAGCATAAAAATACCATAATATATTTGCAGATATTTAGGAAACATGTTAAGTTCACATAATTGTTTCTCCAAAAAATAATGCTACAGCCAGTTATTCGGCTTTGAAATGTGCGTTCCGTGTCGGAATATCTGTTTTTGTTTTGGTCTGTGTGATTCCACCCACTACCAGTTTACCCAATAGTGTTTCAACACCCTGGGTTGCCAGTTGGTGGAAAATACAGCATATTGCAGCCACTGAAGCCAGCAAACGAACTGGGTCAGAGATAGCGGATTCTACCCAACCTAAAAAGCCTCAGCATCAATCAAAATAGCCCTATGACCAGAGACATATTAAACACAGATAAAACAACTCATCACCTTACACTGTAAGACTCATTACGTAACATTGTCAGTTGCGCTCGTTCCTTGTTCCTTGTTCAATATTTTGAATTTGGACTGCAGCACCCATTTCAGCCACTAGCTGTCAATATTACATACTGCACCTTTAAATAACCAGTCTGGTGCAGTGTCAGTTGAACTAAATGACATTTTTGAAAATGTGTAAATACAACAATCATACAACAATCTTGTCAACCTCACATTTCCCGTTTTCCTGACTAACATTGCTCTTCCCTCACTATTATCTGCACTTTCAAGCAACAGTGCATGTTCTTGACGTTCTGTCTGGTTCTTGAGGCACACCCTTCACACTTGACTTCTATTCTTAACTGCACGTTCTGGTAAATGGCACTGAGGAGCATGCTGTAAATTACTTTGGCAAGAAAATGTACATAACACAAATACCACTCTTGTTTCCTTAGGAATAAAATCGTTATCACTCATTTTCTCTTTAGCACAAAGGAATAGTGTGTGTGTGGCATATCTTTCACAATTTGAAGCAAAATACAGTTCTTAGTCAAATGGGAATAAATATCAAGTCACTAATAGTTTGTAATAAGCACTTCAAAGCAGCAGCCAAAACATCAGATGGGCTCTGGAAATGTTGTTCCCATAGCTCTGATGCAATCGAGAGAAAGGGTTTCAAGCAGAGAATGAATTCTGACACAGTTCCAAGGTAAACAAGGTCACACCAGTCTCATGCAGCGATAAAAACAAGCACACGGGCCTAACTGTGGACACGGCGTATGTAGCTTAGCCCTCTCCATTCACCAACTAATTCCCCCTTCAGCCCGCAATAAAAGCCCTTTCCTGATTTGAAATTCCTGCATCTTTCCTGGACACGCATTGGTCACCCTCATTGTGGAGAAATATGTGTAATTCATCAAGGAATGCATGCATCCGTTCGCTTCCTTTTCAAATGGTTGGAATTTTGGCTGAGGTGGCAATTTATCTCCTTCCTCTGGTTGCGGTGACTCCGTTTTACCCTCTTGGTTCCGCTCCGTGTGCCTTTATAAGGCAGTTTGTAAACAAGGAAGTGCTTGAAAGCATTTTCAATAGGCCTAATTGAATGTGGCCTTGTGAAGTTTGGCCAGAGGTGGCTCTTAATAAAACGACACACACTCGCTTCCCGGGAAAGCGCTGCAGATGGGCCGACGAATCTGATCCCGGCCTCCTGGACTTGAGATGGCTATCCAGTTCCTTTCTCTCCACTCGTGGCCTGTTCTCCTGTCAAATGACCCCAGTAACTGTGAGACAATGACGCAAAAAGAAGACACTGAATTCCAGACGCTTATTTATTAATGGCGCTGTGAAATCGTTTGGGCCCCACATTACAGGTGCCGAGTTCTGGTCCATTTTATTTAGAAGAAGGAAAAGGTACACGAGGACGTTTGCCATTTGGTTTTGAACTACTGGTTAAAAATAGATATAAAAATAGAATAGGAAAAACAGAAGGAAATACAAATAAATAATGCCTGGTTTTTAAGTGTATGGATTAAACCTAATAATTGTGGGTAATAATGTTGCCTTTTATATAGCTACTATATTCGGAAGATCAGCAGCGGAGGGAGATTTTTATTTTGATATTTGCAGTTTTCATACTTTATTATTATTATTATTATTTTTTTTTTTTAAAGAATTAATCCGTTTTTTTATTGGACTTTGCTTCCATCTATAGGGCATTTGCAGCACAATTAAAATATAAAAAATATAATATTCAAATATTAAATAGTTTACAATTGTGGTGCTGTATTGCTAGTTGGGTTATAGCATTTCTTAAGATGATGGGTGTGATTGGTGAACATTGCCTGTGCAAGTGGAACATTTATATAATCAGCTTACGCAGAGGTGAAGTTTATGACTGCGTGTTCCCCTTTAACCCCTAATGAACCACCAATACAAATAACAACGTTCAGAGTGACACCAGACAGTCCCTTTAGTGGCTTTTCAATGTATAAATATAGATAAGAGAAAGATTGTGTTCATTGTTCTTACAATCATGGCATAATTCCAGGCATTTCTGGAGAGCATGCAAGAATGAAAAAAGGGGAAAAAAAGATGAGCTGGCTTGAAACTGCAAGGACAAAGAATTGCCATGGTCAGAAAGTGGGAGGCAGAAGTAAGACTCCTACATCCTTTGAAACAAAACTCAGCACTTTTGTAATGTGAGCTGATTTTGTTCCATTGTAGAAATTCTACTTTTTGTACAGAGCTAAACACCACACTTCTTGACTACTACTGTTGGCAGGTGGGGGTCTCAAAAGGGACAGTTCAAAAGCTTACATAAAAAATGAGAACCTTGTCTTTACTGCCAACCTAAACCAGAGGAAATCAATATTTCATTGTCTCTCCACCACATGGGGCAAGATAGAAACATATTAATAAATCATGAATTGGCAGCTAGTATGACAACAACACTTTGGAGGCAGTAAGCTCAGGTCAGACACTGCCATAGCTTTTGTACTGTAGGATGTCTAGTATAACTCTTTTATCAGTAGGCCTATTATGTTTGTTTTAACCTAATTCTTTTTTCCAAAGCCCTTTAATGCTCTTGCCTGTGTGCACAACAAACTCAAATGTTAAGACAGGTGACTCATGGTCTCAGGTGTTAAGACAGATTTACTTTTTAATAAAAGAATGCAGAATGGTGCATTTGTAATCACAGAACTGAGATAAGGATGCGTGTAGAGACACCGATTCATTTTTTTCTCCGTTTGGCAGTTCAGATGAAAGAGTATGTGGCGCCACCGCTCGGTTAAAATAAAAACAGCAGTTTGCCGAGTACTTCGTTGGACATTGGGACAATGATAATATTTCGGCAATTATGTCATGTGTGCTTTCTATTCTAGGTTTAGAATCAAAACTAGCGATGCCAGATTCGAGAACTGATCGTCTAAAATGGTTCATGATTCAGTTTGATTCATTCGGGCAGTTCACTCACGCAACTGAATCGTTTGCAGCTTTTCTCACACTGAAATGGTGACTATATGCTAAATCAAAATTTTTGTAAAAAAACAACAAAAAAAACTCGTTCACGGGCATTTTAACTTATCAGAACACAATTGAAATGCTGCAGCCGCCCCTGCAACTGCCAATAAAATAAAATTGACAATATATTAAAAGTGCATATAATGTGTATCATTAAAAATGTTATATTGAACCCGCTTCAATTTTAATCATATGCAGTCACTCAAATATTTTCCCCCTTAAAACTCAGATGAGCAGTGTGTTTAAGCGTCTACCCTTAATAAGAAGTTGTATTGAATGTGTACTTATAATGCACTTCAAATCATAAAAGTAGCTTATATACACTAAAAAATGCTGGGTTACATATAACCCAGCGCTGGGTTAAAAAGGGACTAACCCAGCTATTGGGTTGTTTTGACCCAGCAGTTGGATCAAAACAACCCAATAGCTGGGTTAGTCCATTTTTAACCCAGCATTTTTTAGAGTGTGTATATATATATATATATATATATATATATATATATATATATATA